CAGGCTTTTGGGCCCATCTGTTCATTGCCATCTGCTTTGTGCAGGTGTTTGCAGAAAAGATGGGCCTGGAGACAGGCTGGAATTGCCACATCTCCCTCACGCCCAATGGTGATGTGCCTGGCTCAGAGATCCCCCCCATCCAGCCCCAGCCATGCTGGCTCCCTGCATGATGACCTGAATCAGGGTGAGGGCGAAGATTTGGTGTGGGAACGAGGTGGGGTGGGCTGTTCCCCATCCTTGGAGCCATAGCTAGAAAGAGCTTCCATGGATTCCTTCCCAATACATACCTTCCCTTGGAAAATGGCTTCAATCTCCCTGTGGTAGCAGCAGTCGACAGGTGGGGGAGAGGAGGCCTGGAGGCAGGAGGTTATATGCCATCTGCGGGGCAAGGAAAGGCCCCCAGAAGGCTGACCCCAAGGTGAGGGACAGGCTTTGTCCCCACAGTGTCCCGAGATGATGCGGAAGGTCTCCTCCTGATGGAGGAGGAAGGTCACTCAGATCTCATTAGCTTCCAGCCTACGGACAGCGACCTCCCCAGCTTCCTGGAGGACTGCAACCGGGTACGGAGGCAGGGTCCATGCCCCGAGAGTCCCGGGGGTGGTGCGTGGCTGGTCCAGGGCCAAGGAGGGAGGGAGGAGGGACCCTGAGGCCACTGGCATCTCTGCTTTCTCCAGGCCAAGCTGCCCCGGGGCATCCACCAAGTACGGCCCCACCTGCAGAACATCGACAACGTGCCCCTGCTAGTGCCTCTCTTCACCGACTGTACCCCTGAGAGTGAGTACTGCGGCCATGGCTACTCAGCCAGACCAGCCCTTCTGCCGAGCATTGCCAGCACCTGGGCACCCGGTGGGCCCTGGAGGGGATGTTGGCTTCCCACGCAGGGAGCGAAGGAACCTGGCTCGGGAAGAGCTGGGGAGTCTGGTGGGCTGGAGCTGTGGGTGACCCATTCTAGAGAGTCAGAAGTGACAATATTCATACGATGTTCATGAAACTGGGGACAGGATGGTCCCAAAGAGGGGCCCGTTTTCCCTTGTCTCTTGCTCTGTCCTGTCTCTGCCCAGCACCCCAGCTGGGGCTCTGCCTCCCTGACTCTTGTGCTCCCCCCTCTGCTCCCTTAGCCATGTGTGAGATGATCAAGATCATGCAGGAGTACGGGGAGGTGACTTGCTGCCTGGGCAGCTCTGCCAACCTGCGGAACAGCTGCCTTTTCCTCCAGAGCGACATCAGGTCAGGGTAACACCCTGCAGCCGGGGGCCAGCCTCTACCTCCCAGAGACCCCAGAGTCGGGCTGGCATATCCCTGGGAGTGTATTCCACAACCAGTCTTGCCCTGGTTGGGACCAAGGGATCTGGGCATGGTGGGGAGAAGAGGGGGCAGGTACTTGCTCAGTCCTGTGGGAGATGGGGTCTTGGCAGAGTGCAGCTCATGGGTCCATTTCGCCCCCTATGCTGAGCAGCATTGCCCTGGATCCCCTGTACCCATCCCGCTGCTCCTGGGAGACCTTTGGCTATGCCACCAGCACCAGCATGGCCCAGGCCTCGGACGGCCTTGCTCCTCTGCAGCTCTCGGGGCAGCTTAACAGCCTGCCCTGCTCCCTGACCTTTCGCCAGGAGGAGACCATCAGCATCATCCGGCTCATCGAGCAGGTGGGGGCTCAGGCGGGCGAGGGGGCGGGGCTCAGGGTCTGCTTGGGGTGGGGAGTTGCAACCCAGGATCCACCTGGGCTCCCAAGGGTGGTTCATCTCCAGGCGATGCCCTCCCAGGCAGTTTAGTTTGCCTCCACCCCTTCCTAGCAGGAGCATCTGGGGCACCTGGCCCTTGGCTGAAGCTTGTCAGCTATAGGGCCTGAGAGAGGCCACAATCTGTCCCTCCTGGTCCCTAGGCTCGGCACGCCACCTACGGCATTCGAAAATGCTTCCTCTTCTTGCTGCAGTGCCAGCTGACTCTCGTGGTCATCCAGGTGAGGTGAAGCCAGCACAGGCGTTGCTCCTCCATGCTGGCTTCTTCGCTCAAGAGCCCACTGAGAGTCTAGGAGGCTGTATCACAGCCTAGGGGGGCCTCCAGAGCATCTGTGAAACCCCTGGGCTTTTGGAAATGACTCCATTGGCAGAGTAGTGTCCCGTCCAGCTGTATCCTCTCAGCCAGGGTGTGAGTCTCTGTCTGGGCGCAGGGCGAGGCAGCCCTGGGGCTCCCAGCATATGACTATTTGCCAGAATCTAATCGAGCTTCCTGGCTCCTCCTGGTCCAGTTCCTCTCTTGCCTCGTCCAGCTGCCGCCAATCCTGAGTACCACCGATATCCTGTGGCTGTCCTGCTTTTGCTACCCTCTGCTCAGGTGAGAGGCCAGGCCACCCCTCCAAGCCCAGGCAGGCAGGGTTGGAATGTCACCGAGCATCCCCCTGGAGCCCAGGTTCAGGAAGCCATGCTCAGTGCCTACCTCCTCTGGCACAGGAGGCCCTGGGGGACTCTCTCCCTCTTGTCTTATCCCATTTGCCCAGCAGACTTGAGCTCACTCTCAAGACTGTCAGAAGGTTTTCCACATAGGAACTGGGGGACAGAGGGTCACAGTTGCCACCCTTCACCGAGTCTCTGCTTTTCAGCATTTCTCTGCTGGGGAAGCCACCCCATAGCTCCATCATGTCTATGGCAACGGGGAAGAATCTTCAGTCCATTCCTAAGAAGGTACGCGTGGGGTGGGGCCCTGTGAGCCTGGGCCTTTCCTGAGGAATGTGAGTGCAGAGGGGGATGGGAGGATTTCATCAGAACGTCCCCAGACCAAAGGGGAGGCGGTGGCACAGAGCTGGGAAAGATCCTTGCTGCTTATCCCCCGGGCCTGCCCACTGACCAAGAACCCCGTTGAATCACGGCCGCCATGGGAGTTATGGCCTCCTCCTTCCCGCAGACCCAGCACTACTTCCTGCTCTGCTTCTTACTCAAGTTCAGCCTCACCATCAGCTCGTGCCTCATCTGCTTTGGCTTCACCCTGCAGAGCTTCTGCGACAGCTCCCGGGCCCGCAACCTCACCAACTGCTCCTCCATCATGCTGCCCAGGTGGGTCTCCCCGCCAACCCTCTCCGCCCCAGTCCACTTCCCTGGGGCCTAGAGGAGGCTGAGCCCACACTTTGCTTTGGCAGCCACGCCAACACGGCTCCAGCCTGGTTTGACGACTTCGCCAATGGGCTGCTGCCGGCTCAGAAGCTCGCCGCCGCCCTTACTGTCCTACACACTGGTGAGGGGCTCCCTGGGAGGGGCCGATGGGGGCAGGTGGGGCACCCCAAGGACAAGGCCCCGGGTAGTGGGAAGTCTGACACCTGCCACCGACCCCATTTTTTCCAGTCTTCATCTCCATCACCCACGTGCATCGCACCAAGCCCCTGTGGAGAAAGAGCCCCTTGACGAACCTCTGGTGGGCCGTGACGGTGCCCGTGGTGTGAGTCTCGCTGGGAAGGAGGGCAGGAGCAGGGAGGGGCTGCAGTAGGCCTGTAATTTGAGGCAGGGCTTGGGCCAGAGGTTGAAGGGTGCCCTGCATGAGCTACTCCTGCTGGAAGGAAATGGAAGGAAGCAAGAGACCCTGGCTGACGCCGGAATGCCACCTCCTACAGGCTGCTGGGGCAGGTAGTCCAGACGGCAGTGGACCTGCAGCTGTGGACACACACGGATAGCCACGTCCACTTTGGCCTGGAGGATGTGCCTCTGCTGACGTGGCTCCTGGGCTGCCTCTCCCTGGTCCTCGTGGTGGTCACCAACGAGATCGTGAAGCTGCATGAGATTCGGTAAGCCACCTGCCTGGTGCCCCTTCCAGGCTCGGGCATGTTCCCTGAGCCCATCACCTCCTGGGCACCGCTCCCCCACCCTCCCACTGCCCATGCCTCCCTTCTCCTCGGGTGTCCTGCCTGTCCCCTGGCCTGGGGGGTCTGGGCTAACCTGAACTTTATAATCTCCCGCCCCACCAGGGTCCGGGTCCGGTACCAGAAGCGACAGAAGCTGCAGTTTGAAACTAAGCTGGGCATGAACTCTCCCTTCTGAGCCACTGACCATGGTGGCCATAGTTGCCCTGATTCCTGAGGCTAAAACCAGGCCAATTTTTGAGTCTGGAGTTTGATATCATGAATGTTTCAGAGTTTGCTCTTGTGCCCCATGGCACTGGTGGCCCCACTCCCGGTGTCAGACCCAGCTGTTGTCCTGACCCTTGGGGCTTACAGAGGATGCTGACCTGTGGCCTCGGCGTCAGGACAGTCTGGCTCTTCCTTGGGCCTCGCCGGGGGGGGGGAGCCCCTGGACTCCTGAATGTATGACCTTGTGCGCTTAATAGAGGGGCCCTCAGCTTCTTCCACCTGTGAGCCACCCCTCTGTCAGGGTCCCGTAACACAGTGCCCTCTGCTCTTGGGTCTGAGCTCCAATTTTTTGTAGAAGAGCAGTGGCAGCAGCCCTGGGGGTTCTGAACAACTCCCTCAGCCACTGTTGAAGGCAGGGATGGTGGTCGTCCTCTGTGCTCCTCTCATCCTGTCTTCCTGGGGCAGGGGCCTGGATTTGGCCCTGAGGACCTTCCCTCCCTCCCTCTGTGGGGGAGCCTCATGCTCAGACCCGACGATGGAGCAGAGCCCCCGCCTCGCCCTGGAACCTCTTCCTGTGCCTCCCCTGGCTGGCCGCAAGTCCGTCTTGGGGATACGGCCCAGGGCTCCTGTTAGCTCCCTGCCCTAGTTCTCCTGTGAGGATGTTTTTACTGGTGTATATTTTTTACTGGAAATGAGCCTTTTAGGAACGAATGTAGACTGATTTGTATTAAAACTTATAAATTGCTTAAGAAAAACCTGTGGCTGGTCCATGAGGCAGCCACTAAGGGGCCCACTCAAGGCTTGGGCCAGTGAGGGAGCCCCAGTGGTGAGGAGGGGAGATGGCCCACACCTTCTTCCTTCCCACATTGGCGGGAGTGCTCAGGTCCAGCTCAGGTGCGACCCTGGGCTCAGAGGTCCACGGCACAGATCCAAACACACAGTGTGATCACGTGGAATGACACTTTCATTGGTGTTAGTTTCGGGAAGAGGTTAATGGTTACAGAACCGAGGCCCGGGCCAACCAGGTCAGGCTTCCAGCCCTGAGGTGGGCAGTGGGTGCTCCTGCTGTGGTCCGAAGCCCCTCCCCCACTGCGTCCTCTCAGGCAGTTATAGATAGAATAAATTCCATTTAAAATATATGCTTTCTCTCTGCTTAAAAAATTACATTTACAGTTGAAAGAGTTTGGACTTCGGGGATCTGTTAATCCCGCTGCCCCCACCCCTGCCAGCTTTGCCTCACTGAGGGCAGGCAGGGGCGGGAGCAGAGGCTGGCCTGGGCACTGCCACCGCCGCTGCGAGCAGGCCCCTGGCTGCTTATTTACATGTCCTATGTACACCTGCGGGGGACCAGGCCAGACACTCAGCCTCCTCCAGCCTGCCAGGAGCTAGGACGGCAAAGTGGGTGGCAAGAGGCCCTCAACACAGGGACTCAAGACACGGGGGACAGAGGAAGCACCCCAAGAAGCCCTGCTACCACTTCTTTCTTCCAGGGGAGGAAGCTCTTACCGGGCCCCTGTCCAAAAGGCAGGGCCATCCCATCAGATTACACACTGGAGGGGGCTTTGCTGAGATGTCAGTTTCTGACAGGTCCCCTCAGCTCCCTGGGGCAGGAGCAGGGGGCAAGGGTGCTGCCTCCTGGAGCGGTGGTGCTGACAGCTGCTGGCCTGGAGCAGCCTAAGGGACCCTGCTACGGCAGCAGGAGCTGCTTCCGTGCTGGGGGAAAGGCATTGGTCACTGCAGGTCATGGTGTGCACTGCTGAAGGCTACCAGCAGGTCCAGCTCAGTCCAGCATGGCATCCAGCTGGTTAGCCAGGGCGTCGAACATGGTGCTGATGTCATCCAGAATGTGCTTGGTGGAGGTGCCAGGAGGGCTGCAGCAGGGGAAGGACTGGGTCAGATCAGCCAGTGGTCTGCATCCTGCCGGCCCTGGGCAAGGGGGCTACTACCGAGAGCCTGGTTGGTGCAAGCACTTGGTGTACATCTTCTAATTCTCACAGCTTCCTGAAGCAGTAGGAGTTACTGTTCCCTTCCTTGCACAAACACACTGGGGCTCAGAGAGATAAGTGACTTGCCCAAACTCACTTGCCTCTAAGAGGCACCAGGATTCCCTGCAGGTCAAGTCTGGGAGGCTCCAGAACCTGGGCTCCTCCCATCCCAACAGGGGCCTCCCCAGCCTGAGGATCTGCCTGCAACATGACAGTGATGTCCCCCTCCCAACATTCCTGGAACCCTGGGAAAAGGATTCAGGAGGAATTGCTCTTATGCCGCCTTCTCCACCTCCCGGCCCAGCACCCAGCACCCCTCACCCATCTCGCTCCTCAGCGCCGATGCTCTTCTCTGCGGCCCGCAATGCAGCTGCCAAGGATGAACTGGTCTGCTCCAGTCTCTGCTGGGCCCGGCCTGGGCCCGCAGCCCCAGTGCTCTCTGGCCTTGGAGGAGGCACTGGGCGGGGGCCAAGCCGGGAAGCCAACTTAGGGCCAGAAAATGCCAGCTGGGTGCAGGCCACAGACACAGGCTTGGGGGCTGTTCCTGTAGAGACAGAAAAGGTTGGCTTGTGACTCAGCTGGGCTAGACACAACCCCTGCAAACCACCCCCTCTCCCTGCAGACCCAGCCTCTTACCTGCTCCAGGCACCTTGATGAGGGCAGCGGGGGGAGCCGGGGGCTCCATCTCCCCATGCCGCCAATTGCCTGCTGAGTTTTCCGGAGCCGGGCCAGGGCAGGGAGGCACTGGGGCCTGGGTCGGGGGACTGGAACAAGGAGGGGCTGGAGCTCCTGGAGTTGGAAGGCTGCTAGGGTCAGGCCGGGAAGGGCTAGGAGAAGCTGAGGGGGACTCACTGGGGGCCTGGGAGGGCAGGGGAGCAGGGGGGCTGGGTGTGGCACCAGCCACCCCAAAGGCCAGGAGTGCCGTCTGCAGCGGCTCCCTCTCCCGGCATTTGGGCCTCCGCTTAACAGTGTCTGACTCTGTGAGGTTGAAATCGAGGCCGGGTGGCACGGGTGTCTCCCGGGGTGGGGGGCCTGCCGGCTTGGGGCGCTGTTTGATAGTCAGGTTTCCCTCCTCTGCAAATGGGAGCCCTTCCCCTGAGCTGCCCCGGGACGGGGGTGTCCCCTCAGGCCCTGGCTCCTCCTCCTCCGTGTCCGATGCAGGGCCAGCTGGGGCTGGTGGGCCAGGGGGCTCTGAGGGGCCAGTAGGTTCACTCAGTGTTCGTCTCCGGGACCCAGCAGCCCCCTCCTTGGGCCCAGGGCTTCCATCTAGTGGAGGCGGCTCCGGAGTAGGGCCAGAGACAGAGCTGAGGCGCTTGGGGGGTGGGGTGGGGGTCCTTTGCGGCGGGCTCTAAGGGCAAAGGACTGGCTGCGGGGAGCCCCTCGGGTTGGGGTCAGGCTGGGGCTGGTCCGGGCTAGGGCGCTGCGTCCTGGTCGCCGGGTCAGGGTGGCGTAACTGCCCAAGGCACTATCCACTGGCCCTTCAGCCTCCCCCTCTGCTTCCCCTTCGGCTGCACAGGGGCGGCTCAGGCTCTGGGACCGGCGCTTGGGCCGAGGGGGGTCTGGAGGAGTGGCGAGGGGGCCCAGCCAAGTAGGAGAAGGCCCGAGGTGCACCAGGTGGCGGCCCTGGAGCTGGGTTGG